CAAATTTCTTCTATATAGCACAGGGAACTGTATCCAATATCTTGTAATAACCTTTAATGGAAAAGAATATGAAAATGTATGTATGTATATGTATGACTGGGACATTATGCTTTACACCAGAGACTGACACATTGTCACTGACTGTACTTCAATTTGAAGAAAAAAATAAAAAAGAAAGAAACTTGGCCAAGAAAGTATAACAAGATGGAATCACTTAGGTAATTTTTCAAGGGATTTATAGTCTTAATTATTTGAGCAATGTCTTGTTGCTATTATTTTAGCTCACATTAAGCCTTGTGTCAGACACTGTAGGAAGCACTACACATACATTATCTTATTTAATCCTTATAATAGGTCACATATTTAGGAAATGGTGCAATGATAGTAAAGCAGGATTGCCTGATTCCAGACACATGCTCTAACTACCATATAGTTCTCCCCTTATTGTGAAATGTGATATTCTGTATTGAGTACTGTTTTAGGAAATCAGCTGAAATAGTGTGGGGACGGCAAGAGATGAGAGTGTTACATAGCTCACCAGTTAAATAAAATTGTGCTCAGTCTCTTACTACCAATTGTATTGAATGAGTTCTTGTCTTTTTTTTTTTTTTTTTTTTTTAAGGATCTTGACATGCACTATGAACCCACAGACACTGCTGCTATGGCTCGAACATCTAATCTAAACGAGGAACTTGGCCAGGTAAACTAAATTTCTTATTGATATGTTGAATTGCAAGTCCTATTTGGTGTAATTTCTGCCGTATATGGCAACTTCAGATGAATTGACAGCTCCTAATTTTCCATTTTTAAATGATTGATATAAATACATGTTAGGACCTAACTATCAACTTTCATTTTTAGTAAATGAACATTATTTAATGCATATTTTGCTCTCAGAATAAGAATGTCCTTTGGTATATAATCTGATTGGTATGTTAAGTATTGGCTGTTTTGGAGTTATAAACTCACAGTATTAAAATTGTTTATAGCTTTTGACTAAGAAGGAAGTAAAAGTTAAAAGCTGATCAATGAAGTTGTGTAAATCAAACAGGAATTTCAGATTTATAATTTATACCATATTCACACACAGATGTATATTTGTAATTCATTTATACAGACTAGCTGAGAAAAGATTCTTCTTTTTTTGTACCATTGCCGTTTGCTAATAATTCTTACTCTTCGAAAAGCATTTAAGCCAGCATTATCCTTTTTCTTACCAATTCAGATGTTGTGTGAAGTTAATTTTAATCACAAGCTATCGCCAGTCTTGTAATTGTTAGTTATGCTGAGGGTGCTTATAGACGTTGTAGTGCCCTACACGTGTTAGGTAGCTTCAGTGGCACTCTCTAGTGGATATTCACACCATGTTACGGCAGATTTCTGCCTATGACCGATAGCTTTTCTATTATCTTGATAGCCTTTAATGTTAGTATGTAATTGCTGAAATACTGAGAGAAATAGTTGAAAATATTTCTTAATGATGTGCAGAGAGTAGTCAGTTAATAGCTTCATTGTTCCCCTACAATGTAACAAAATTGCTAAAGCAAATAATGTAAGGGTTTTTTCCCCCCCTTCTATAAAAGACTGGCTTTAAAAGACCTCTGTAATTTTAATGAGAAATTTTAAACCTTTTTTTAGGTAAAGTACATATTTTCTGACAAAACTGGGACTTTGACGTGCAATGTAATGCAGTTTAAGAAGTGCACCATCGCTGGAGTTGCTTATGGGTGAGTGTTCTTCCCTGAATCAGAGTATGATACACACATTTAACTCTTGCTAACAGTTTGAAACAATTTTGGGAGTTCTGATTATCGGAGGGTTTTTTTTCCAAGCTAAAAGGCAGTTATAATTTTAGCATACTTATATATTTTGTGTTTTATAGTTTGGTATTGTTTTTCATTTGGAATTTACAGTAAGATAGGGGCCCTGCCCCATAATTTTTAGGTGTTTAGAGTTGCTGAAGGACTCCGTCTGACTCTGGTAATAAAGTACAAATACTCTCCCCTCTCCATTGCCATAAAGTTAGGGTACAGTCCTGTCTGAGGGAGGAACATGCAGTGCGTCCCTGGGCAGTTTTCAGGTTAAAATATGGTTGTTTCTCTGACAGTTATTCCTTGGGTTTGCTTTTTCTTTTTATCATCTCTCCTTTTTGCAGTCACAGGGCAAGCTAGATTTCTGATGACGGGAAGGAGGGAGGGACACAAAACTCTTAAATCTGGGGGATAATGACTATCACCAAATACGTTTATTGGTCTCTTAATCTCCTTTAGAAGGTGCTTGCTGAGCACCCATTTTTTCTTACTTCCAGGTATGCTTGCCTAACCTGTTCAGAAACCTTCTTTCTGAAATACTTTATTAGGGTAACTTGAGAAAATGAATTTCTACGTTTCCTAAAAAGGCGTGATCAAAAGAGGAAACATCCTCCTGGTTGCTTGACCTTGGCCTATTATCACAGTTTCCAACTGTCTTGATGTACAAGTGGTAAATACTGACATCTTAGCCATACAAGCAAGGGCACTTGCTTTTGGTTTTTCTGGCTTGCACCCACCCCTTCCACACTCATACTCTGTCTCTAAGCAGTAAGCCAGTATAAAAATGGGGTATTGAGTTGTTATGAAAATGCCTATAGTTAAAATTATAAATAAATAACCAGTTGGTTAAAAAAATTCTCAAAGCATGTGGTTTTACCCCTGTACACGGGGTCTACAAAGAGAAATAGATGGAGGCTGACACTCCTTTCTTTGGGTTAGCAGACAGTGTGACTAAAAATGACTTCAAGCTATGTGTGTAAATGAAGCTAGAAAGACACTTGATGTAATGGCTTTTTGACACTGTAAGGGCAGGCTGTGAATTTAAGAAGCATGCCTACTGTGTCCAGGGCTGCATGCCATTTTGCGTCTTCCCTCTTTTATCTGAAGATCTCCTGATTCCCTTAGATGAAAGAGGCCTCCCTCTCTTCTTCCCCCCACCCCCCAGCTGCTGCAGACCTCTTTGTTTTGTCGGTTGCTGGGGTAGGAGGGGTACGGCCACACTCTTTGACATTTTGCGATATTCAATCCACAGTTATCCCAGATGAGAGACAGAAAGGTCTATTGTGATTCTAGATTTTGTTATATTATACTTGCTGACAGATTCATGGTGATGTCTGTTTTTACACAAAATCTGCATTCATTCGTAAGTTATTTTTGGAGGGAATCTGTTTGGTAATTGACATCCTTTTTTTACTTTGTCCAGTTTCCAGTTGAATAAGCAAGCTCTTCAAATTATCAATTATTGATTGTGAACTTGCCAGAACAGAAAGCTAGAATGATATCTAGGCATTCTTTTCTTTTACTTTTTGTAAGGTTTTTTCTTCTTGAAATAAGTCCTTAAACACAGGCAATAGTTCTAAAACGCAGTGTTCTTCCCGTGTCTTTTGGTGATATTGTCATTAACAATTATGTATTATATATTATGATAGAGTGGGTTTAAGATTGGTAAATATTAAAGTAATTTTAGGAGTTAAGTATTGTCATCATTTAGATTAAGTTTCCAGTGAAACAAATTTCCTCTTGAGAAGAATGATATCTCTTTAAAACATGAGTTCTAGTCCTGGCTTTGTCATTAATTCACCATATGACCTTAGAAAATTCCCTTTGCGATATTCCAAGCTCTTTAAAATGAGGCTGATGAGACCAGACGATCTCCGAGATTCTTTTCCAAATATAAACTTCTAACATGTTTAGAAATTTATTTTTTTATTTGCAATTTTTAACTGTGAAATATCCTCTTTGGATAATGTGTCATGTTTTCAGGAATACCAAGAGCCTTGTTGAGTGAAGCTAGTTGTTGAACCACTTCCAGTAAGTTGTGTATGTGTGTTTAGGATCCTTAATCCTGATGGAGTTTCTATCAGTTTTTATTCCTGATGGGCAGTTGGAATGCCAGCATTGTAGAGAGCAGTTGCTATACGAAGGCTCTGGACAAACTATGAGACTTCAGACTACTCAGGTGTTTACAATAGGAGAGACTCATGGCTGTTACTTTTACCTGCAGAGTTTGGTGGAATTAAGTAATTCCTGAAAACCACCTTTCTGAGAGAATTTCCTCTGGACACTCCTGAGCTTTAGGAACCCAGAGAAGGGGACATAGCGTGTTTTCCTGTCTCATTCGCCCAGGAGCAGTGTTTAGCACTTGTTTAATGTGGGGAACTATTACATACGTTTACTTCCCCCTCCAGCAGAAGAAAGGACGGTGGTTACCTCCTCAGAATATGACAAAACAATGGGAATAACACAAACTTTCACATACTAACAAATGCCTTTGGAGTTATGGTTTCAGAGCTGATACTTCTTAAACATTTTTAAGAAAATAAAGCCTCCTTTTAACCTAGATAGAGTCAAAGATGAGTTCTGTTGTCTTTTTCAGTTCCAAGGACAAGACTTGAAGTCTCTTGGTAGTACAGTCTGCCTAGTTCTGTCAATTCCACAGGTTTGTAGGAAGGAAATAGTTAACACTTAAAACAATGCTCCAGAATTTAATCTTAGTGAGTTCTCTCTCATTTCATATAACATTGGCCCCAAATTAGATTCATGATGGGCAATGAAATAAAAAGATTTGCACATACTTAGCAGTGATGATTATTTTGTAGAGATCAACTTTGTCAAAAATGCCACCATGCTTAAACTGATTAGGTTGTTTCATTAGATTTTTTTTTCAGTCACATGTAAATAAATTATGATGTCACATTTGTAAATTTAACTTACTACAAACTAGAAATTCTAAAGAATATGAAAACGTATATATGTATGTGTATGCATAACTGGGACATTGTGCTGTACACCAGAAACTGACACGTTGTAACTGACTGTATTTCAATTAAACAAAATAGAAATTCTACTGTTAAACATTTACTAAAGTATCATTTCAGCAAATTTCTTCCTGTGGGGAATAATTCAGTTTTCTCACAGGCTGCTTGAATACCAGGAATAGGTAAGGAGGCCTTTATGTTCGGTGGCCAGAATTCTCAATACAGTGAATATTCTGGGCTATAATCTAAGTACTGTCTTTGTCGATAATTTAGATCTTAGTATTAAAATCAGCTGATGACCTGGGTACAGTCTCTAAAGTTAAAAAAAATTCTGTTAAGCAAATTAAAAAATACTTTTTATATGGAGAGGTGATTTAATCAGTATTTAAAACATTTCCTTGACATTTTCCTTTTAAGTAAAAACTGAATGCTCTTAAAACCAATTTTTATTTATACATGAAAACAGTATATGGGTAGTTTCACTTGACAATATTTTGTTTAGCAATATGTTTGCTGAAAGGATCAGTAACTTCTTTAACCTTAAGAAGAGATTAACCATGAGAAAACTAACAATTATCTAAATACTTTGCCCCAAGGTCTGTATTGTAACCAACAAGCACATCTTACTGCTCGCCATGCCTGGTGGGTAAAGCTGCGTAAACGCCATTCATTCTTTATTCACGTGCCTCAACAAATGTTCATCTCTTTCTATGTATGTAGCACTTTGTTAGATGGTTGGGATTTAATGACCAGCAAAAGTTCACATGGCTTCCATCCTCTTACAGTTTATAGTCTAATTGGGGGTTAATAGATGTAATTAAATAATCACACAGACAAAAAATCATAACGTAGTACAAAGGTCTATGGGAGTCTGTGACTGATGGCCAGCTTGGGTTGATCTAATCAGGGAGATCAGGGACTGCTCCTTGAGAAAGTGATGCTGAAGACTGAGATCCAAGCATGAGTTTGATTAAATAAAGAACTTACCAAGCATGTATAACAGCACTGACACATAAAGGCAAATAACCAGACAGAGCATCCACACCAGAGCTGCTGGAGCAGTGATCTTGGGGAAACTCATGCAGTCAAGGTAAGTAACAGGTGTGTGGGTCACCTGCCGCTCATAACCCAGCATCTTCCAGGGCTGGACCACCGCTGGAAAGAGGGACCCTGGGCCTTGGGCTCTGAGGCTTTTGTACTGCATGATTTGAGAAACACCAGTCGCTCTTCCAGTGTGAGATCCAGGGCTGCTGTACAACAGCAGTGCAGCTTGGCAGAACCTTGACATAGTGCTTTTGCTTGGGTAGCACCAGACCCTCTCCGGGTCTAGTTCAGGGACCACCCTAAGTCTTGAGGTTGCTGAGGAGTGATTGCCTAGAACGCTGGGCTGCAGCCAGTTTCCGACAGAGCTTGGCAAGAGGCTGTTGCCTTTTCTAGGAGTCCAGCCCACCAAGCCTTGCTTAGCCCTTCCTCTCAAGCATCCAAAAAAGTCCTTTGGTAGAAGAGAGAACAGTGGGTAAGGGGACTGCCTCCACTGTGATGGGAGCGAAGGTAGTAGATACTGCACCAGAGACACATTGATGCTCTGGAGGTGCCTTGGGATGATGAGGCTCGTGTCTTGGCCAGTTTGGTGAAAGGACAAAGAGAGTAGAGGACACTGAGGAAGTGAAAGGGTCCCACCAGTTTTCAGTGAAGATTATTGTATATCTGTCAAAGACAATGACTTCACATTTGTACTGAACTCCGCATTTTTTAAACTCTACCTATATCTAATTAATTTAAAGGAGAACTATCCCATGGTCGTATATAATGAAAGAAATGGGGGATTAGAGAATCTGTTCTAGCTGCTGAGAGAGCAGATCTTAAATGTTCACACCACAAGAGAGAAATGATAGTTAGGTGACAGATGGGGTGTTAGCTAAAGCTGTGACGGAAATC